TGAAAAACATTTCCAGGTGGGCACTAGAAGGCAAAGAGTCTGCATGGAAGGATGTTCCCTGCTGCTTTTTCCTCCTCTATTTAAGCTTCTTTTGTTTCCCTTCCATCTCGATGACTCTGTTTACTGCTTAAATGCAAATTAAGCAGAGGACACATTCCTTTGTTTAGGACAAGCCTCTTTGCCACCCTCAGTTTGGAACATGTTTTAATAATGCCACACAGTGGACTCTTATAACTTCACATACAAGGTTACCACACAGGTTTTATCAGGACGTTACTGATCAGCAAATTATGAGTTTTGAAATGATATCTCACAAGGTGTACTTTGGACAAAGTTTTTTACAATAGTGTGTCAGGTGTGAGTACAGGGGTATGTCATTCTGTCACAGAGCCGAATTCTAATCCTGATGGCAACACTAAGGCCAGTGCCCGTGTGTCTTTCCCAGGTGCTCTCCCACCCAGGGTCTGAGAGGCTATTAGGACATTACTGTATTCCCCCTGCCCTAAATCCCCCTGAAACCCATCTACCAGGTCCCAGGGGCAGGATCACTCTGTCTAGGGCTCTTGCCTAAAACAAATCAGACTGTAGCTCAAGCCTTCGCCCAGGTCTGGGCTCCTACTTCTGGCTCTAGGAAATTAAAATAACCGCTCCTGGGTCCCCGTTACAGGGGGCTCTTCCCCCTCGCCAGCACTCAGCACCCTTGGAACATGAAGAGCTTTTTATCTGGGGGAAAACAGTCAAACGAAGCATGACAGCCCAGGTATAGATTTACCTGTAAGAGCCTGAGCCACCTAAAACAGTGCGTCAGGAGTCTGGATGGCCTCACAGGAAGGCTGCCTGAGCAGAAATCCAGGACTCCACAGGCTTGTCTTCCGGCAGAGTTAACTCGAGTTACACTCCCAGCATCACCCCTCACTGGAGTCCCACAAAACCCTTCACTCCTGTGATGGTGCTTTTTACACCAGCTGACTACTCCCCCCTTCCCCCCACCAGAGCACAGGCTGATGAGTTGCGCAGTGTGGTCGCAGGCTTGCTCCACTGGACTGCTGCTCATCCTCCAACACCTTTCTACAATTCTCCCCCGCGCCCCCCATGTCCAGAAAGGACAAACGAGTTTCCACTTACTGCAGAGCCACGATCTTGTGCCACACACGAGGGAGGGCCGCGCCCAGTGTGGACACAGCAGGTGGGATTCCACAGTGTAGCTGCTCTCACGCAAGCAAGGTTAACTCAAGTGGAGATAACTCAAGTTAACTGCGCAATGAAGTCAGATCCCAGCCTGTCCACAAGCCCCACCCCCCTAAACCCCTCTTGTGGGTCTCCTCTGCCAGTTTGCTCCTGCCCAAAGAGAACCGTGCATCTACCTGGCCCAGCTCTGCAATATCAGCTCCGGTCCTGCTGGCCCAGGACGCTGGGAAGTCAGCTCTGGCTGGCGTGACTAACAGGGTGCCATGGGCTGACGGAGATCTCAGCCACGTTCCACTGCTCCTAATGGCTACCACGCCAGCTCTGCACGATTACCTCCTCCACTGCTCCAGCCCCACAGATTCACTCCACACAGAACCAAGCCGCCAAGTGGGGAACCCAGAGCTCGCTGCCCTCTACTCATTCCAAACCACGGGTCTGGGGGGCACAGGGGGAATGGGAAAGGGACCAGATGCGACACTTGGGGCAGTCACACGCCTCCCTAACCCTACGGGTGGTCTCTGTCTAGCACCATAGGGTGAGCCCCACGTGCCCAAGCCTGCAGACCCAGGCTCTGCGCTCGTTGCCGTGTGGACGTACTCTGTCTGCTGGCCTGTGCCTGAGGGCCCCATCAGAGGGCTTGAAACTCCTTGGGCTTCGGCTTATTGTGTTGCCTTTTGATTATTCCTTTGGGGGTGGGGGACAAAGGAGTGGGGGTTTGCACCCCAGCAGAAGGGGCTGTGGGTTCAGCCTCCTAACCCACGCTGCCACTCTGCTGGCACTTCCCCTGGTCGCAGGCTT